GTAATACTTCGGTCTCCGTTGCTAAAAAAGGAAATATTGAGAGACATCATAAAACTGTACATTCTAATTTTGAAAAATCATTCCCACTACATTTTGCCGCCAGAAATTAGAAACTGAAACAGTTAAAAAAGCAGTTAATTGCACAACAATCAATATTTTTAAGAACAGTCGACAAAAATCAGGCTGCAACTGAAGCATCGTACCGTGCGTCCCAGATAATTGCACAAAAAAAGAAACTTTATGAAGACGGGGAAATGATAAAACAGGCGTTTTTAGAAGCGGCTGATTCGTTATTTGCTAACTTTAGAAATAAAGACGAGATAGTTTCAGCTATAAAATCTTTGCAACTTTCTGCTAATACAGTGATGAGGCGTGTAAAAGTAATGAGCAATGATATGTTTTTACAGTTAAGAACTGACTTAGATAACTGTGTTTATTTTTCACTTCAACTGGATGAATCAACAGATGTCGTTGACACTGCCCAAATGGCCGTGTTCGTCAGGATGCTTTTTAGTGATTTTACGATTAAAGAAGATCTTTTGAAGTTTATTCCACTGAAAGGACACACTACTGGACAGAAGTTGTTTTCTCATTTAAAAAATATTATTTCTTCCGAGAAAATTCCAATATCCAAAATGGTAGGCTTGACAACCGATGGCGCTCCAGCTATGGTGGGTTGTGATAAGGGTCTAGTGGCGTTATGTCGTAAAGATGAAACTTTTCCGCAATTTCTCTGTTTCCACTGCATTATCCATCAGCAAGCATTATGTAGAAATTTCTTGAAACTAAACAACGTTATGAAACTGGTGTTAAAAATTGTGAACAAGATTAGAGCTAAAGCGTTACAAAGAAGATTGTTCAAAACCTTGGCCGATGAAGTTGACTGTCAATACGGGGACCTACTCCTTCACTCTGAAATCCGATGGTTAAGTAGAGGACGGGTGCTGAAACGTTTTAATGATGTCCTATCTGTCATAGTTCAATTATTCAAACAACGCGATGAACCGACTCCGGAACTAGAAAATTCAATCTGGTTTAGAGATTTTGGTTTTCTCGTGGACATTACAGATAAATTAAACGAACTTAATTTGCAGCTTCAGGGGAGAGACAAAGAACTAGCGGAAATTATTTCTGATATAAAAGCATTTATCAAAAAGCTGGAGTTTTGGGAACAAAACCTAATTAACAGCGATGCCAAGCATTTTCCTATTCTTTCAGAAAAAATATCTCAAAATCCATTAGAACCGTATGACAGCAAATATCATGTAGAAATAGTTTCTACCCTGAAGAATAACTTTAAAAATCGTTTTAAGGATTTCAACGAAATGGCTTTAGTAGCGCAGTTTGTTGTTTCACCCTTTATGGAAATTGATATCCAACAGTTTGCAACTTGTGTTATGCAGAACTTTGGCGAAGACATCGCTGCAACAGAAATGGAAGTAATTGAGTTTCAAAATGATTTAGCCTTAAAATCGTTAGTCTCAAGTACCAACTGTATCTGGCTTATTGTAAGTAAAGACAAATATTCAGTTCTATGACGTGTTGCTTTGAAAGTGTAAGCATTATTCAGTTCAACCTATTTGTGTGAATCTTCTTTTTCCAATATGAAGTTTATTAAGAACAAATATCGCAATCGACTTACAGATGAACATTTGGATAATTGTATTCGAATGGCTCTATCAAATTATACTGCAAACATTAAAAAAATTATCGATGAGTCTGAGTGTCAGCCTTCTCATTGAACGGAAGCAGAAGCGGATGATTAAAACGCATCTAATATTTTGCTTGCTGCTGTCAGTGTTAGTGAATATTATTTTTGAAGTCACAGTTTATTGCTAAAGAATCAGTTAGCTCACTCGGACCAGTTAAAAGTTCCAAAATAACATCCACTTCAGGAATACAAATTCAGGATACGCAGAAGACTACTGTTTTATTATAGGCGGTTATCATATATTGTATTATCCGAGTTACACAGTGTATAAACTGAAACATTGAGATCCAAAGTGCCGACGCAGAGTGAGCGATCTGATTCTTTAGCTGTAAACTGTGTCACAGGGTTCAAAATGGCCGCGCTTTATGTTGGGCGTGTCGGACCTCTCTCTTGCCTCGTATAGTAATCAAAGTATGTGGGTTCTGGGGTCCACCAGGTTAGACAATACTAATCATTAAGAAAAAAACTATAAATAATGAAAGATGAGAAGAAGGGATATTCTAGGTTTGTAAGGATATAAACCATACAGAGGTACATCTTGGATATAATTTGTATATTCGATTAACACTTTTAAACATTTTTTACTTGCTAAACAGTACATTTCTTTTTAAATTAAAACACTGGAGACCTCGAAGAGTGGACAAACGAGGCAAGCGAAATGGTGGTCCTTGGAGGACACTGGTGGTTAAGAAAAAGGGAGGAGATTGTAATAAGAGTACTTGAGATGACGGTTACACCCAAGAGGCAAATTAAATATTTAGGCATAACAATTGACTACGTCGTTATGGGCCACATATTAAAGAAGCCGCCAGGAAAGCCAATGACATAATAGGAAAACTCGCAAAAATCATTCTAAATATTTGGGGACCAGCAACTAAGAAGAGGGAGCTACTTCAAGGAGTGGTTCACTCTATAAAATCGCCATGCATTACCGTCTCGATGATGGTGGGTGAGGTTTTCCGGATTTTTTTCATCTGTAAGTCAAATGGCACCATCAATCATCTTTAAGTCGGCCCGGAGCGCCACGACAAATAATAATTATAGCCGTCCCTTTCCCCACACATCAGCTTTTGAGGTTAAAATTTACTCGTAAGGGGGTGAACTAGGAAGAGTATTATAATATTATTATTATTATTATTATTATACTATTATATGGATCATCACTATGGGAAAAGGTAATGTAGGTGCAAACCTACAGGAAGGCCATAGAGGCCACCAAAGAAAGACGTTACTAAGAGTAGCCTCGGGCTACCAGACGGTCTCCCAGGAAGAAATCTAAGTAGTCACAGGGACAGTCCCAATCCATCTGCTAGTAGAGGAGAGAATAAATTTAGCAAACGCTCCGAAAGAGACAAAAGAAAGGAGAAAGAAAGAAGGAAGAGAGGGATCACTAGAAGAGAAATGGCAAATTGAAAGGGTTGCTAACACTGCAAAAGCGCAATGGATCAAGGTCCTCATACCCAATGTAATGGATTGGTACAGATGCCCACATACAAATATTGACTACTTCATGACACATGCCCTGACGAGACACGGATCATTTTAAACGTTAACTCATAAGATTGGTAAAACAGACGACGATCGATGCCGGTATTGTAATAACATAGACACCCCGAATGACTCCTTGTTTTGCTGCGTAAGAGAGGAGACGAAAAGAAGGAATTTTGAGCAAGAAACAGGAAGGTACCCTACAAAGAATAACATTGGGAATATAATGAAAGAGATGAAGGAGTGCTGGTGGACTGCAAAAAATTTGTTTGAAATAGTAATCAAGAATAAAAAGATAAAAGAACATCTAGAGGCAGAAGGGAGAAGTTAAAAAAAAACACATTAGCGTTTCCGAACGAATGTCTTGCATAAACAATTAATTCCTAAAAATTAGCTACCTAAGAAGTTTTTTAATAAATTCTCCTGCCCAACAAATAGCAAACTACATATGCATGCATGACTAGAATGGTAAGACATTTATAGCCAGCTGCAAATCCGGAGAAGATTTTATGCGATTTTGAACTGGGTGCCATACACGGTTTCAAAGAAGCGTTTTCAAATGCAGAGCTGCTAGGTTGTTTTTTCCATTTGGTGAGATATATGAAAAAATATTTAGCGCAAATTAATTTACTGGTTTCAGTCTTCATGTACGAATGGTGACATCTTTTGTATTTGTTCCTGAAGAAGACGTGGATATTACAATCGGCCAATAATTTGGAGAATTTTCTAACGAGTTGCAACTTTTAATGAAATTGACGTCCCCAACCACAGGGTCGAAGAGGACGCAATCCACTGTTTAAGATCATTTTGCGATCTATTCAAAACCGCGTTTTAGAGGGTAAAGACGAAACGAACATCCACGCCCTGAGCTGCACAGAGACGACTTCAAAACGAAGTGTTCATGGGTCATCCAACGATATGGATATTTATTGATGCACTTAAAAAGATACAGTCAGGCAGGGACTTGTATTAAAATTAAAATAAAAAAAACATCGCGATTGTGACAAAAGGATTTTAAAAATCGTTATCGATTATAAAAATAGAAACATAATTGAATATTTAAAAGTAATATCACATAATTATATTATGATTTCTTAATAATAAAATTAAAACAGACATTTCAAATATATTATTTTGTATGGATTATTACCTACCTAAAAAAAATACAATTGGCGTTGAAACGGCCCGGTGTCGAAATGGCCGGCGTCGAAATGTCCTCGCATCGAACCGGCCGCGTCGAAACAACCGCGTCGAAACAACCGCGTCGAAACAACCGCGTCGAAATCGCCGCGTCGAAACATTCCAGACCGCCACCTGGTATTCCTAGAACTGCAAATACTTTCTAGAACTGTAAATACTTCAGTTTTTGCTTTATGATACAATCGATCTCTTTGGGTTATATATTCATTGATAGTGTCGTCCAATTTCTTTTTAGTATTTACAAATTCTTGATGCAGTAACAATTCGTGCCACGTATTGTACTTCGTACTTCCCAAGTTTCTTTTGACGTCTTACTTTGCGTAATATCGTCTAAACCATCATTATGTAATAATAATTATAAAAGATATTTTGCTCTATGATCTTTCCTTATATTTTCGGCAACTGTTTTCTCAGCTTTAGTAAATCCTGGACCGTAATTAAAGGAAAACTGTGGTCGAAATAAGGTACATTTCTTCCTTATTTTTTTAATATTTAATAAAACAACAATCAAACAGCTACTAAGGTTAAGACAAGGTCAAAGAAACTCAGAGACAAATAAGTATGTTTCATTTTATTTTAATAGATCTTAATGTATTTTATATTACACCCTAGAATGTTCTTCTTTAATTAAATCAGCAGCCTTCTCAGCAAGAGCATAAATAGCTGCTAATGGATGACCTCTTACCATAATCGGAAAAGATCCATAATCTACCACTCGCAAATTTGAAATACCATGAACCTTCAAGTTTCCATCAATTACCGAATTGGTAGGATCGATACCCATTCTAGTAGATGAACATGGATGATAGAGAGTCGAAGTAAGAGATTTGATTGCACAGTACCAGAATGCTTCTTCCGACTCTTTCTTCAAAGGCTCACAATCTGGGGCTTGTGATACTACTGTGGCATCAATAGCTTGAAGCGGTTTAGATTTAGTCAAATTGATAACAAATTGAATTGCTTCATACATTTCTTTAATATCTTCGTTATTTGAGTCTGTATAATAACCTGGATTGATAAGTGGGAAGTCCGCGGGATTGCTGCTATTCAATTTGACATCACCTCGAGATTTTGGTTTCAAGACAATGGGATACACCAAAAAGTCAGTTAAAGTGTTAAAACTTGAAAACACCTTAGCATATGTATCGTCTAAATTATAAAATGAAGCTGTAAATAAAATAAAAATTAATATTACTAATTAAAACTGTAAAATAATCTTTTATTTTTTATATAATTTAGATCAGCAGAGCAACTTGAACTTTGGTCAGGTCTTTATTTTTCTGACACCTCTTCGCTTACTGACAGTATGATAAGTATGTCTTTAACCGAGACCCTAACCGAGACCTGCTTTCCACACAACTCAAACTTAAACTTTGTGAATCTCTCATTTTTTCCAAACTCAGATATTGTGATTCCATCTACGGTCCAGCCCTACTCCAATCCGATTCCGCTCGTTTACAAAAAATCCAGAATAGCTGTCTACGTTTCGCCTATGGAATTCGAAAATTTGATCATATCTCGAATAAAATGAAAGAATCAGGTTGGTTGACTTTCAATAACTATCGCCTTTTGCATTTATTAACCCAAGTTCACAAAGTTTTACTCATACAGAAACCTGATTATTTAGTTAACAAATTAAAGACATTTTCCAATATTAATGAATTTCCTACGCGGAATCGAATGACCTTGGTGGTACCGAATCATAACACGGCTCTATTTAAAAGATGTTTTTCGTATGTTGCATGTAAAGAGTACAATAAACTTACAAATGAATTTAAATCATATAACTTGCTTAATTTCAAGAAACGCCTAAAAGATTCTTTGTTCAATAAGCAATGGTCATAAAAAAATATATTATATAATGCAACGAATTTGGTTTTGAAAATCTGTTTATTTATTTTTTATACTTTTTTTTCTCTATTATATTATATTATTATATTTCAATGTTATTTACAGGTTAAGTTGTAAATCAGCACAAGCTGAACTTCACCTTTTCATCTACCTTATATATGTATATATTTACACTTATACTAAAACTTGATGAATAAAGACGCTTTATTATTATTATTATTATTATTATTATTATTATTATTATTATTATTATTATTATTATTATTATTATTATTATTATTATTATTATTATTATTATTATTATTATTATTATTATTATTATTATTATTATTATTATTATTATTATTATTATTATTATTATTATTATTATTATTATTATTATTATTATTATTATTATTATTATTATTATTATTATTATTATTATTATTATTATTATTATTATTATTATTATTATTATTATTATTATTATTATTATTATTATTATTATTATTATTATTATTATTATTATTATTATTAATTGTAATTTAAATTTAAGAATTAAGGAATAAATAAAACACTACCATTATGTCTACAATTAAATTATTAGAGAGTTATAATCTAACTAAAAATAAAGACATAGAAACGTACTTTAACTCTAATAACTCTCAATTGGCACTAAGATTGGTAAAATTAAAAATGACCCAGATAAGCTAAATTAAAAAATTAAACAAAATTCAGTATGATTATTTTTTCATTTATACTAATCTAAAATGTAGAAATCCGTTATCCCATAAGAAATAATATATTTTAAAATTACCTGGAGGTACACTTGTAGGCATATTAATTGTCACCAATTCTATGTTTGGTGGTTCCACACCTGGTGTCTTAGTGTTAATGAATTGAATATTGTCCGCATTAAATGTCGTGGTTAAGTAACCTAAACCATTGATCCATCGTTCCAAGTAGTACGACATATTTCCTGCCTCAGCTGTTAAATTAGTTCTTACATACAGTCCTACGTATACTGGATGATCCATAAAATATTTTCCAACTGGCAAATCTTTGACTACTTTAATATCGAGATTTTCCAGATCTGATTTTGGTCCAACACCACTAAGCAAAAGAAGCTGTGGGCTTCCAATGGCTCCTGAAGATACAATTACTTCTTTTCTAGCAGTTGCTTTGAAAATTTTTCCGTCTTTGATGAATTTAACTCCAGTTGCTGTAGTATCCGAGAAGAGTATTTTGGTTACAAAAGCGCCCGTAGTCAGGTTTAAGTTTTTAGTTTCATCAAGAATTGGAAGGATGAAAGCATTGCCTCCAGTTTGTTTTTTGTTAAAATCTATAATCCATTGTATTTTGGAAATTCCTAATTGGTTTTCTCCATTGTAATCTACATTTTTCAGCCCTGTAAGCTTAGCTGCTTCCAAGTAGTAGTCGTAATTAATAGGATTTGGAGCAGTATAGTTAACGTACAAAAGCCCATCGGTACCATGGTATTCCGAATCGTAGGATTCTATTTGTATCCCCTCAGTTTTTTTGTAATATGGTAAAATGTCATTAAAACTCCAACCCTCAAGCCCCATAGAGGCTATTTCATCGAAATCTGCTTTATTTCCCCTTGCATAAACATTGTGACCTATAATGGCTGTACCTCCCAATCCTTTACCAGTGGGAAAGACGCACCTATGATCTTTCATACCTACAGAAAAAATTAGTTAACTTTTTATTAAGAACAACTTATAAAAAATATATTTACCTAAACAACTATTTGCCTGTGGAGTAGTTTTAAACCCCCAATTATATGGAGAATTGAATGTATATAGATTCGTGAATGGAATGTCCACAAAATCATCTGTAACGGTACCAGCTTCCAGTAATAAAATTTTCCAACTAGTAACTTCGCTTAACCTCCTTGCCACAAGCGTCCCAGCAGATCCACCTCCCACAATTATGATGTTATATTTTATAATTTTATATCAATTCAGAAATCGTAGCGGTTGATTTTTGGATGGCTATTTGAGGCTAATGTGGTTCGTAGGAGACCCAAAATTCATTGCAGTTTGACGATATACTCAACACAATGAAACATAAAAAAACGAAGAGGAGTTTGATTTTGATATAGGCACTTCTGACAAATTAGAATCATAATAATGTTTTTATTTTTTATTCCATGATTATGTTTTATTGTATCGTTTTGTAAATAAATAAATGTATTTAATGAATGGAGCCCGCTTCTACGATCGAAAAAATCTTCTTTCTGAACTCTCGGCATCCTTATCTGTTGCATGGAGTAACCGCGCTCAACGCTTTTTAGGGACTCTCCGTCCGGGCTCCTGCTTGATACATAATTTATACCTTTACCTGGCTCACGAGCTAGGAGGTGCATATCATCTTACGAGGATGCACAATGGGCCTTAGTGCCAGGGGGGGGGTAACCCACCCTTCACACGTTAGAGATACAGATATACCTACTTTGACAAAGCAACCTAATACTGTTGGATATGTAATGAAGTTACCTTTCATTTTATAAAAAAAAATAAATAAATAACCAATGAGGGTATATTAATAACGCCTGTTTACCTGTTTGACAACTCTATGGTTTTACGAAAGTGAAAGTAGGCAACCTATATTTTTCCAATTCCTCGTGTGATATTCTCTCGAGATAATCTAGATTTTTATTAATAATAAATCGGGGAAGACGATCAAAATAATAAATTAATAAATATTGGTCCGTGTTGAATTTACAGTTCATTGTAGTAGGAGTATGATGTAGAAAATGTGAGGGGTGACCACGAGCCTAACACGGTCCGTAATTTAGCTAGGCAACCCAGTTGTGATTTATCTTTGTCATCATAAAATAACGTATCTCGTACTATAACGTCGTTTTATAGAGTAAAGTGCATTTTCCTCCCTTGGATGTTTACTTCATCCTCCGGGAGGAAAAGTGGCACTTTCCTCCCTAGTAATACAAATAGCTATTATTACTACTTATATTAGAATATTACCAAAGGACCCCGCACTTTTCTTTTGCAAAGTGGCGACCCGTCAAATTTTCTGAGACTTTGGTATGTTATTGTAGTCAACCTAGTGACCAAAAGTGTCAATGGGCCCAACTCAATCCTATGACTAGTTTTCGATATAGTTGAAAATTGCCCAGTTTTTGGGAATTTTTATTTGCAAACTTACGAGCTAGATTGAATCTTTAATGCATACATACGTTTACTATGAGTTTTATTAACACATTGTTACATACGTACAATTTAAAATATGTATAATTAGAGGGTGATTCACAAATGTATGACGGTAATTTCTTGAAAAATCACACCAATTCTACTGTGCGGTCAGAGAAGCATATTTTTAAAAAGTACTACTCAATATGGTATTTTGACAACAAAATATTGCACAGTACACATTTCTTATACAAGGTGTTTTATAGAAAAAAACCACAACATGAAATTATTTTTTTAACGATTAATTTAAAACCCTGTACTTAGAAAAAAAACTTAAAAATCGTTTTGAAGTAACCATTTATAGATTCTACTACCCATCTATAGTACTTGTAATTATTCTGTTTTTGTTAGCCTCAAGAGTAGAAAATTGATTTTGGTGCGGTTAAAAAAAAGAAGGTATATAATATTGAATTCCAAGATTCTCAAATGTGGCTATACAATCTCTATAGCTTCTATCGACTATCACGATATGGTTGTTTTGAAACAAGTTCCTTATTCCATTTAAATCATGATCTATAGCATGGTTTAAAATCGCTGCATCGTTATTTCTTGCATTCGAGAAATATGGTCCAAGTGCTTCTAATATGAGCCGTCTAAATGCAAAACCCGCCAAGTGCAAAAATAAAAAAAAAATGAGATAGCACTGCCATTTTATAAAGAATGGTAAATTTTAAACTGTGTTAAAATATTATTTTTCAAAACTCGCCATTTCAATTAATATTTACAATCTAAACATTAGTTTACTTTCAAAATATCGTCAACTGCAAACTTATTTATTTGCAAAAACCGCCAAGTATTAGTAACCAATAAAAAAGCCATTTTTTGTCGCGTGACCATCACGGCGAGCCCCTACGACGCACAATGGCGCAAAGCGCCACCGTGCCACCCAAATTACTTTACACCTTATGGGGTTGGAGTGTCTAAGGTGAATTTTTTTTTTAAATATTCGTCTTGAAATTGCCTATCGATCCCCTATTTTAGATTTTCGTTTTATGTCTTCATTTTTCCGGAATTCTGATCCAAAAATTGGTTTTTATGCAAAAACGTAGATTTTCCGCACGAAAGTGATCCTACGGTAAGCGAGATTGAAATTTTTGGATCAAAATGACCAAAAACAGAAAGATCAACATAGTGTCTAATAGTCTTCAAAACTCCAACCATCCATTAGATGCTAAAGACTTTTATTATCATCCATTTTTTTCGAAAAGTTCCAGAAGAAATTAATCATGGTTCATTAATGATGACCTATTATATGCAAAATGGCAACTTTTATCAAGAAATTGAACTTCTCGAAAAGTGTTTAGAACCATTTATGGAACCCTCTGAGGCTTTTTAGAATTTCGGGAAAATCTGGAAAATGGTCGTATCTGAACATTTTGTGAAATGGCCAAAAAAGTGGCCAAAAATTCTGGTAAAATTCGTGCGCATTCCGCGAATGAATACAAACAATTTTTGTTCAATGAAATTTTTTCCAATACTATCCTAACATTAAGTAAAACGCGCTTCCTGTTATTTGAAAATTTTGGATGATTATGACCATTTCAAGGGTAATGGAAAATTTTTTACCGTATTCCAAGTACAGAGTTTTTTAGGGTCTTAGAAGACGAACATTTTCCCATAAAAAAAGTTTGGTAAAATTTCAATCTCGCGTACCTAAAAGCGTTTGGAAAACAATATTATCCATTAGGCCAAAAGAGCTTGTATCTGGTCGTCCTGTTAATAACGAAAAAAGAAATTAATCGAAAATTTATTATCCAAGCATTTTGGAACTGATTGGAAATCTTTACAAAATTTAAAATTTTATAAGGATGTAATGGAGATTAATGTTGAAGATTTACCAAGCTCTTTCACAATTATGGATGAATTCATTTGCGATGAAAACCCCGAAGATGACACAAGATTTGTTTAAATAACATGTGTTAAGTGAGGTATGTTTCAAACTTTTTAAAATTAAAATCTATTTATCAAGTTTTTAAAATACTTAAAATTTGTTGCAAAACCCGCCATTTTTCAAGTTAATTTTCAAAACCCGCCAACTACATTTTCTTTTTCTAATTTACGGTGGTATGCGACCTCTTTGATTTATAGGATGAATGATAATTATTAAGAAATAGTATTCTACATTAACAAAAATAATAAAGTACATTACTTGATCGATAGTTTTAAGCAAAACAGTTTTTTCGTGTTTCCTCGAAACTACTTCGTTTGCACTTGGCGGGTTTTGCATTTAGATGGCTCATATGTAACCATCGGGAGCTACCATTATTTCTGGTTTTACGAGGTACTCTTTTTTGTGGTAACAGTAAGATTGGCGTAATACTCCAAAGTTATTACTTTTATCAATTTTATTGTAAGTACAATCTATGTATACTTATTGCTTCTGGCATAATGGGTGTTGAATTGCACAAGTGATTGATATATGGAGATATAATATGTCTAGCTATAAAATTTTCTCTAGTAATAGCATTAAAACCAATATTATTCGGCACAAACCGCCTGAGAAGTGATAACCGCACATTTGAAGTTGTTAGGCTTGTCTGGAAGAATAGTTAAAAATAATTTTAAAAAATTCATCACTTAGTTTTATTAAAAATGTTAATAAATGCTTTTTATCAATTCTTCGCGCATTGCCATATTGATCTATGTCATCACAAAATGTATATAACTCCTCAAAGTGATTTTTGGAAATAGAAGTAAAGTTTTAAATTCTTCTTCGGCGAAACTTTTTGTCCTTTCCCAATTTTTAATCACGCAATTATTATTTGCTTGCACCCTTAAGCAAGATATAAAGAGTTGAAGGTTTGGTACAATATATGGTTGGTTAAGAAACCGTACACCTCTTATTAAATCTGGTATAACAAAACCCTTATTATTTATATGATGTTTGCATATTCTTAAAAACTCTAGTATATAAATGTCAGATACAACAAACACATTGACTCTATATTCCATAGATATTCTATGTAGGTTTTGTTGAGCATTACATATTATGCAAGAATGCCTTGGAACTGGAGAAAGTACATTAAAACGTAGACAGTTCGGATCAATTTGTATTTGATTAAGTTCATCCCTTACAGAATTAAAACAATTTAAACAAATTCTTGTATTATCACCGATATCCAGTTAGGGAAATCCAGCAAAGAGCCTTCTAAAAGATGCAACTTGCAAAACATGAATATTTTCTTCTTAGTCTAAGCGAATTAACAGTCTAGGTTAAAACGGTCTTTCACATACGTAACAAGTTAATCTATTTGCTAACGCTATTTTGTAACAACAAAACAAACACATACAAAACAAGAAAACTTAACAAAATATTAGGAACTCGACGAAAATAACTATGAAAACCAGAATTGTTGAAAATATACAACTCTTGCACAATGTGACACTTTGTAATATTTCTTATGACATAAGTCCACTTTGTAATGGGGTTCAAATACTTTTTTGGGCGAAATTATTAGCAGAATTATTTTTAAATTGGCTCTTTCCTAAAGCTGACGAATCGTGACTATATTTATTTAGCGGTATCTCACATACTAGACACTGTTCAAAGACATAAGAGTTATTTCATTTAAATAAACTAGTTCAATCAAAAACGTAATTGATTAAAATTTATAATTTAAACGTTGTGGGATAACTATAACTGGGTAAAAACAAATACCGAAACCTCTACTTCTATTATTGTGTGGAAATGAGGTAACGGTTCAGTTAA